TGGGGTAATAATATAGTGTAAAGCGCATAGAGCCTGCTGTTGAGCGGGGATTTCCGCTATACAAATGCTATCTATTATTATTATTATTATTATTATTATAGTTATACCCCGTGCACACTGCACACAAAGCAAATGAAGAGCACAGGGGAAAAACGACTGTAGCAACAAACTGGAAATTGTGAGGGTGCCAATTTTAAAAGCTTGTGGACTCATAACTTCCTATTTGTTTGACTGGTGGTTTATTGTTAAGTGTTGTTGAATGGGAAATGTTACAACAATAATCAACCAACAGTTGAACAGAAATACAGTAATGAGTCAAAAAGTGTTCAAAATTGGTATCCTCGCGATTTTCAGTTTGTGACTACAGTCGTTTTTCCCCTGTAGTCTTCAAATGCATTTGATTCCGTGGGGCCATCCACGTTTTCCTTCATGGACGCGGCAAAAGCAACCATTTTGACACAATTCGCCGGAATTCGACTTAGTTTGACTGCGACCTTCAAATCAAATGCACTAATATTTCAAATGTCGTGTGTCGAATATGTAATGCATACTTTCAGGTAAATATTTTCAGCTAAAAATCTTAAAGGAAAGATCCCTTCATGAAAATAAGTCTACACTAAGAATCACAGAGCAAATCTATTACGTACTTTATCACGTGACCAAAATTCAACTCAATTACAAATTTTACTGTTCGCTTAAAGTGGGGTTTTTATGTTTTGCTGTCACTTCTCACCAATCGGCGATGTTTACCACCCAGTTTCTTTGGATTTTCCCCAAAATGCCTTACCTTCGATGGCAAGGGTTTTTACTGTATGAGCCTTGTGACAGTAAGTAAGAGTTTTATTACACTTGCGCACACAGGCCAAATAAGTGTCAAATCGCTTAAAGTAAAAGTTTGACACAAAAAAACCACTTTTTTTCAAGATCCATTAGAGTTCAGCTAAGAATCTGGACTCACCTGCGTGTAAAGGTCTGTGGTGACTTCGTTGGGAGCCAGGTACAGATCGTCGTTGAGGGGCGGGGCCCGGCTAGCGGGGAGACTCGGGGGCTGCGTCGGGGGCTGGGGGAGAGGGGGGTTCTCGTAAGCCGTGTTGTGGAAGCGAACTGCGACCTCCTCCGCCTTCCGGCGCGCATTGCGGTGGTGGCGAAACACGAGCAGGAACACGACCAGCAGGATGAGGAGGAAGCCCGCACTTACTCCGATGATGATTGCCAGGATGGACGCTGTGTGCAGAGAAACGAATGAGTTTTGTTTTATTTTGTTTTAGTTAGTATTTTACTTTTAGTTTAGTTTTATGGCATGTTATCGATCCAGCAACAGCTGGGCTCTCGCCCTTCTGTCCAATGCCATGTACGCAACAAAATAAGGTCATATAAGTGCCGAAGATTACAGGTGTTACAAGAGAGTAACAAACACAAAAAAGAAGGAGGGGAGTTAGAAACGTTAGATATTTTTATAGGAAAGAAGGAGCAAACCACACAAGAGCACCCACCAACTACCCGCGCGTTTTACTTTTACGGCACTCGCAACACAATTAGGTCATCATACATAAGTGCTGTAGATTAAAGGTGTCACGAAAAATGTTATATATACAAACAATATATTATATATACATCTATAATTTACTGTATCTATTGTCCTCCTCCTGGGAAGTGGCTATGTGTGTG